GCTCCGACCCTTCCGGCATCGCAGCATGCTGCAGCTCACCGGCCAACTTCTACAGCCTTGTCCCTGCGACCCTGGGCAGCTGCGTGCGAAAGCAGCAGGGCGGAAAAGAGCTACGTGCTGAATGCTGCTACTGCTGCTGCTGAAGAGATGAGATGTCAGCCTGACATCCCAGCCACGGGCCTCCACTATGGGAAACTGAGTCACGGCAGCACACAGCAAGCCTGTGACAAGTGCCACTTCGCAGGTCTACCGCTTTAGGCTGAAACCCACCTTCCCTGTGGTGCTACTCGGTTGCAGCAAAGGTATTTATTAATGACAGCCAACACACAACTTGGAATTGCTGTTACAAGGAAAACACTCATACATGCTCTGGGCTTGCCCACTGGATGGTCCTTGCAGAGTCCAGCCTGTGCCATAACTCCTTCTTCTTTGGCAATAGCCGTCCTGCCGGAGAGCCCTGTTGGGAAACAGGCAGCTGCAGCCATGGGAAGGGGATTGCTTAATACGCACACTATTAAAACTTTTACAGAGTTTTTAAACAATCATGCTTAACATCACTATTACATTTCCCATCTGCATCAGTTTTCACTTGAAGCATCCATGTTTCTTACTAAGTCTGTTTTCAGAACGGTCGCCTGCTGAGATACACAGCAAATTGCCCAACCCTTATCTGTGACCTTGTTTGGGTGCAGAGCTGCCCACGCTCACTGAAGTCAGAGCATTAATTGGCATGGCTCAAGCGCTTGCCTGCCTGGCCCTTCCTGTTCCCACTTGCTCTACATTTTTGTAGTATTAAGTAACTTGCCACCAGAAGAACTAGACCAAACTAACTCTGTTTTTGATAAACACATAACATGGCTCTGCCAAAAAGGAAACACCAGTGACATCCTGCCTGTCTCAGCATCTTAATCAGTGTATTGCTTCTCATTTCGGGGATACGCCACCAATTATACACCTACGCCCACAGGAAGGGCTAGGGTGAGTATCTGCCAGAGGAATAATGAATCCGTCAGTGGATGACTGGAGCACCACAGCAAGTACCCAGCCCCATAAATGAACCGAAGATTTAAAAATGCAGCTCAGTGCATGACAGATCATTGCTGCAAACCAGGGTAAGGTCATTACTACAGGTACAGAAGCGTTAATAGCCATCAGGTGAGATACAGCCCACACACGATTCTTTTCTGTTGAAATTCACTACTTCTCCCCAAGTTCATCAAAATGCTTCTTTAGAGAGAGGTGGTTCGAGTCACTTGCCACTGTGCTGTATTTTTCATGGCAGAGGCACAAGGTCTGCATTTCAAATGGCCAATGCTACGTTTTGGATTCAGTTGCCAAGCGCAGAGCTGGGTATGAAAGCTCTAGCATGTGTTATGCTTTCAGCAGCCCACAAAGCCCTGTAAGCTGGAAAGTAATGCTGGAAGAGCTACAGGTATTAAGTCAGAATTGGTAGGTTTTATCTGGGCCTTTTTCAAATCTTATTCCGCACATTCTTAAATCTTGCAAAGTAAGGGAGATCAATACAGAGGTCTTCGGCCTCTCAGGGAAACTAGGGCAGAATTAGAAAGATGCCATGTGAGCTACAGGAGAAAGACATCAGAACCAGGACTAGGCTTAAACCCACTCATGTGTTGTTTGAAGCCAGCTTCCTCACTCCGCAGAAAGCCTAGACCCTGCCCTGTGGCATTCAATGCCTTGGTCACACAGGTCCACTCAGGTGGTTCTGCTTGCCCCATGCCAGCAATGCCACTACCGGAGGTACTGTGCCAGCTGTGTTGCTACAGCTAGGAGGAACTGAAAATACAACTTTCTGGGAATTTCAACCATCCAACAGCAGAAGCGCTGCGCTATCATGAACAGTGGCACCACTGCTGTTCCTGGGCAAGAACCAAGGACTGATGCTCAGGTAAAGCACTGATGTGTATATTAAGCTAATTTTGTCCATACAAAAGGCAAGTAGTTATTGTGAAATGGCAGCATTTGGGCGTATGAACAAAGCTGAGCCCTGACAGATGAGCACTTAAGTCTATGTTTCCATATAAGACGCCTTAGGAAGATGAAGCCGAGATAATGCTGATGCTAAGAAAACCTAGAAACTGCAAAATGACAGAGATGCCTATATCAAGGCATTTTGTAAGCCCTCTGTACTCCCTGCACCCATCCCCCTAGCACGACCTTGTCCTGACACAGCATACAGCTCTGTCAGCTGATTTTATTTCTGAAATTGTCTGGTTTTGAGGCTCTCAGATGGCACATACTCTGTTCTGCAGAGATGGAAGTGACACTTTGGGTCTAGTTTTTAGCAGTTCTCTTCGAAGTACACACAGCCATACAGACATTGCTAAAAGGCTTTGTTTCCACCAAATCTGCAGCTAGCAAATTCTGGTACCATGGGAGCTGCTGAGCTCCAGCAACCCAACACACCAAACAGAGCACTGCAAAATCACTCAGCCTCCCTTTAACCAAAACATGAAGCTTCTAAGTGATAATATTTGGCTTCCATTATACTGGATACTCAGTGCTGGACCACCATGCTGAAAGAGACTAAAAGAAGCTTTAAAAGGAAGGACAAAGCAAGAGCTGCCTAGGCAGGACTAGCTGACATGAAAGTGGCTTTCCAGAATGCAGGAGCACAATAGGTCTCCTTCACACAATGAAAATCAACAGCTAAACGTTAACCTAAGCCTAACTCTCATACCAGTCCTTCCCAGAGAGACACTTTTCATTAAGTTAGGTACAGGGACTCCTGCTGGTACAGAATTAGGGACTCGGGGGATGAAAGGGAAGGGAATGGCACAAACATATGAACAATGCAGTCAAGTTGGAAAGTGGGGTGAACAGGCATAGGACTAGGAGACACACACACCGAGGGTTTTGGTCAGAACACTTATTCTGCACTAGTTGCAACCTGAACAGACTTACACACACCATAGCTCTGACTCAATCTACTTGTGAGTTATGAAGAAACATCTCATAGGATGCACAGGAGCATATTTTTACAACCCACCTTAGCTTTGAAGTGTCTGTCATTGTTTCACATAGATAAGCTGATCGTTGTTGCTTCTTTCCCTTTAGCAGGCCAGGGTCCTGTTGGCCTTCTTGGCCACCTGGGCACACTGCTGGCTCATGTTCAGCCAATTGTCAGTCAATACCCCCAGGTCCTTCTCCTCCAGGCAGCTTTCCAGCCACTCTTCCCCAAGCCTGTAGCGCTGCATGGGGTTGTTGTGACCCAAGTGCAGGACCAGCCACTTGGCCTTGTTGAACCTCATGTATTTGCCCGCAGCCCATCGACCCAGCCTGTCCAGGTCCCTCTGTAGAGCCTGTCTAGTTTCAGGCAGATCAACACTCTCACCCAACTTAGTGTCATTTGCAAACTTACTGAGGGAGCACTTGATTCCCTTTTACATGTCATTGATAAAGATGTTAAACAGGACTGGCTCCAGTACTGGGCCCTGGGGAACACCACTTGTGACTGGTCGCCAGCTTGATTTAGCTCCATTCACCACCACTCTTTGGGCCTGGCCATCCAGCCAGTGTTTTACCCAGTGAAGCGCATGCCTGCCCAATGAACCAGTAAGATGACAAATGCCAACACTGTTTTCTTTCTAGACCAGCTTGATGCAGAGCAGAGACCACTTGCTTGTTTCAAACCAGCTTTTCCTACCATTTTCAAAGGGTCTCCAGCCTTTGTAGGAAATGCTACACTTCATTTGTAAACATTGCATCACATATCTCATCAAAACCTGATCTTGCAACAGTGATGGTTGTTACAGCAATGCACAAGCTAGAGGATGGGGAGTTAGCGACCCAACAAAGTACAGCTGCCAGAAATAATCTTTTTCTGCTCCTCTCCTCCACAATATAAAAATAAAAATGTACACTTTAAAAAAATTATCATACAAGTACAAATATGGAAAGCATTGTGACCGAGGTTAATGGCTCATTAACTAGCCCTGTAAGCAATTAATGGATTATTTCCACAATGTCAGTTATTGCAATAACTAGGTACTCAGAGTGAATAATTTTACAGTAATTGGCTGTTTTTCCCCCCCCAAATCCTAGCAAGACTGTTTCAAACTTTTGAGGAACACCATCAAGCACCAATAAACCTTTAGAGCAGCTGGTTAGGCCTTAAATGCATCACTGAAATTTTCCTACATGCACGCTACATCAACTGCTTAGAGATGTACTCACATTTATGCTGGAGTGAGCATCTTCTGTCATTTGAAGATAACTCAAACGAATAGAGAATTTCATAGCACCTATAATTTGGTCAAAAATATCTGTCAATTAAAATGGCAAAGCATTAAGAGACAGTCTTAGATAACCTCAAGTCATGACAAATATTGCTTTCTGCACTTGAGGGCAAATTATACCTTGTTAAAGCCAACTTAAATGTTCTCATGCATCCAAAACATTTGTGCCTTCGGCACTCAAGTATCAGTAACAGGATTCCCCTGCGAGTACTACATCTCAAAGTGGAAATGAGTCATGCTGCCCCGAAAAGTGCTGTTTTAAAATTCTTGACCTGGTTTAATACTGAAAGCACTCAAGTATTTCATTTATCCACACTTTGTAAGCCACTATGAAATATCCTAATTATGGTCTTAGAGGCATGTTTCTGCCAAATGAAGGCTTATAAACAATGTATTAGATTGCTATCTAGGATTCCTCTAGTGCAGCAACAAAATGATCAGTAATATACTATCTTTTTCATCAGCCTTTCACTAGTCCCAACACACTCCTAGGGCTGCATCTTAAAACAGGAATGAATGCAGATCACATCTTTTGGTTCCAGTCTATTGTTCAAGAGGTTCCCAGTCAAAAGCTTCCAATGAAGTCAACTTTCCAAGGAGCATTCTGAACTCAGAACTTATGCAAAATTGATGTATACAAAAGACATTTAATATTTATTATAATTACAGCAGCTTTACACAGGCAAGTTAAAAAGTTAAAAATATCCCAATTTTTGGATTCATGATTTCTTTCAGGACAGTTGGTCAGCAGGTCCCTGGGATATCTGTAGGCACCTTTAAGAGTTCTTCAACTTCTTCTTGTAAAGCCTCAGCTTTTTCACTCAGTAGCATCTATAATGGAAAAAAAACCCCAAACATTAAAAAAAACAAATACAAGCATTACCTGTAACTGTTTGACAGGTCAAAACACCACTTCTTTCCAGACTTGTACCTGGTCTATAAAAAAACCTCCTGCTGCTGCTCACAGGACTGCAGTACCTTTTCCTCGAAGGACTAACATTTTCACAAGTACTACTGACTTTTTTTTTTACAGCTTAGCATATAACCACATGAAAAACAGTAACACCTAAATGCTATAGAAATTAACACAGTACACAGCTGGTTTTCTTAGCTCTGCCATTACATAATACACAGAATTTAAGAGAACATAAACTGTTTTGTCTTTTTATTTATTTTCCATGCAGCAATAAACATTTGTAAGCTGTGCCTGCAAAGTTGCCAATTTCTTGCTTTATACAAAACTTCTTATTACAGCATTTTACCTCAGACATAAAAGAACGCCAATATTAGCAGATGCTCAGTCTACTGCCCTGAACTGTTTGTTGCTGGCACTTATAAGCCCCATGGTAGCACACAGAGCATAACACATGCAAGCACTCTTCTAACTCCCCAGGTAGAGAAAGCTTTGTCAGTTTAATGTCTGAGCATGAGAGATTAAGCAAGATTGCTGGATTTGGCACTGAGATAGATGAGGAGTGTGCATACATCCCTTTCTTTTGGCTTACACAGGAGCCTGCAATGTTAAATGTCAATGACCTTTTTTGAAGCACATAACGCCCCTCTTTTAACTCCATGCAAATATACAAAACAGGACTTTGTTATTGACTGCATCACTTTTACAGCTACCACCCATTCATATATTCTAGACATTCCTTAACTTTACCAAGAGCTTGCTATTTTAGCAGAAGCAAACATGAAGCCAGTATTATTGCAACAGCAGATGATTAATGGACACTGAGGAGAGAAAACACTACTGCTTGACACATAAAACATTTCCTGTATTTTTTGTTTAGGCACAACTCTATGTTTGTGACACATCCTTACTCTTGGGTTATATACATGAAGGCAGATATTAAGTGAAGACCCTTCTCATGATGCATATTCAAAACGGAAAATAATTAGAAAGGAAAGAATGACAGGGTGTGACAAAAGCAACCTGAATTAGCGAGGTTAACCCTATGCCTTTTTGGTTTCCATTTCTACAGTACTGAAAAATCCTGTCCTTTTATCACCACTGCCACTAGAATTTCTATAAGGTAAGTCCTGAGGCATTGGCAGAATTGAGCATTTTCAGTTATGACGACTCAGCATGGAGATCAAGGTAGTAGTTTAAATTCTCACATTTCATCAGACAAGCTGTCATACATTTTTGCCCTTTGCTTCCCTTCTGAAAAAGAGCACAACTTTCCCCTATGGTGTATATAACAAATTGTTTTAAGGAAAGTTAAAGAAGTTTGCCTATCATTTCAGGGCACAAGGGTCAGCAATTGCTGAATTCATTACTCTTAACCATCCGAGATCAGTGACACTGTCAAGAACATATTTCAATACATTCTTAATACAGATCAGTATTTGAATCAGCAGTGCCTTTTCTAGTAAATGGAATCCTTCGCTTTTAATGTCATTCCAACATCCACTTCTGACATACTGAAGTACTGATGCAGAGTTTTATAACTTTGTTTCTCGCTTACCTTTGCAGATGAAACAATTTGTTTGGCTTGTCGTCGTGACAAATGCTCAATCATCTTCACCAGAGTTTCTGGATTTGCATTAGCCAAGTGTGCTAAGGTTTTGTACCCTGCGTTATAAAGCTGTTTTGCTCGTGCCTGCAAGCCCAAAATTGTGTTAGATTATTAGAACAGACAATAAGAATTACCAGTAAGTGCCACTTTCTGCACCAACCTCAGACATTTCATATTTGCTTATCAATCCAATTCTCTCTGATTCATCTTTTTAAGAACACCAATACTCACCGTAGGTGGCACTAACTTTCAGCTAAGAATCTTTAGAGCCCCAAAAAACAGATTTACCCCTGATATTTACCTCCCCCCTACCATCTCACCCAGCTCTTAACCCATCCATCATTATTTTCTCTGACGCTAGACGATAGTGATTCTGTCATCCTCTTTTCTTGTCCTGTTTCCTGCATGCCCTGTCACTGACAGGAATGACCATCTCACATTCTTTGGAGGTATCTAAGGGCAAGGAGGGCTGATTTTACTTCACAGAACAGAGCTTTCACAGAATTCCAGAATACTTTCCTGTTTCAAGCTTATTAATATTTTTCCCTTTAGTACCACAGTCTCTTTTTTACATATCTATTTTTACGTGAAGTCATGGCTGTGAGCTCATATACACAGCAGAGACATCACAGGACTGATTCTCTGAAGTCAGATTATCACCAGCATAAGGGGTACACATTATGGGCTTCTCTTAACTTGCCTTGATCCTGTTGCAATGTAAGGCAGCCAAGCAGTATCTGCTCAACAGAGCGTCTGAGCAAACATTTCATTTGCAAAACAAATACTGCTCAAACTTTACAAAGTGTAAATAAAATTGCATTTCTATGCTAGTAGTGGAGGGTACTCAAGGCTTTAGTATCCTGAGTTAAGAAATAATATCCATTTGATGAAGTGTTACACCTCTAAACATCTGGTCAATTACCTTTTTTTGTTTGGGTTGGTTTTGTTTTGGTTTGGTCTTTTTCTCTCCTCTTTTAAAAATGTCTTTCTATTCCTTGTTATTTATTTCATGGCATATGCGGGGTTTTTAGCATCCAACAGATAATGGCTTACAGTACATTATCTTCCTCCATGGTAACTGAGGACTACACATGTTCATCGATGTGAGAGTGGTGTCATTAATTCCACCAAAAATAACTGCTAAATGCCAGCAAATGCTTTCTGTGTTCTACTTTGCTGTTATGCACACAGTATGACCAATGACGCAGAATCTCTCCCCACCAGTGACCTAAATCTCATTAAAAGGCTTTAGATTGCTCTTTGAAAACTGTGCAGGTAAGTGTGCAGAAAATAATTTTATCTTTCACTACAGTAACCTTAAGATTGATTTTATCATTTCCTCCACAGAAGCAAATCACATCATCTGTTCAAGATGACAGTCTACTTCCTACAAATATCAGCTGTCAGTATAGATTTAACTCCAGCACAGAAGTGCCTTGGTAATAGCAGTAATTCTGAAGAGTCTTCTTTGAAATACAACTTTAGCAGAATTCTGTTGTCCAGGCTGGTTTTGCCCTTAGATATAAATGCTCCCATATGGAGTGAGCCATGAAAAAGAGACTTTATTCACCTTTTGCATCCGATTCAGAAAATTCGACATATACAAGAAAGCATTAGGCTTTAAGTCTTCATCTTTGTTTAGCTTCATAGAATAAAATCTTACTGTCACTAACTTCAATAATTTGCTGACAAACTGATTCTACAATAGGCTGGACAGGCAAGCTAGATAACCTGGCAAAAAGGTCCAGTGATTACTATAGCCTTGCACCAAAGTCCAGAAAGATTTTATACTTTAAAAGGAATCTTGGATTCAGAGACTGGTTATGTTTAATACACGCAGCACCGTAAGTGACTGCAGAAGCTTAAGTTGCCGTAGATGTTCACATATTTCTGTGAGGATTTTCTATGTAAATTCTTATTCCTCTTTATTTTCTTTTTTTAAATTTGTTTTCTTTTATTTCCTCACAAACTGAAGTACCCTTACAAAAGAAACCTGGACTCTGTTTTCCAACTGAGCATATAGCTCAATTAGTATGTAAATACAGCATTTTCACTGCTGCTGTGGTAGCAGCCAGAAGAAAAGCACTGTTTTTCCAATACAGAACACTCATTTCCAGCTCATTTCCAATATAGACCACTTTTTCCCCAGCCTTCAGGATTATTGTAAGATATCTTCACTATGTCAAATTCTCAATAAAAAACTAGCTTGGTTTTCCAGCTATACTTGAAAGGCACAGTAACATTTAGCATCCAAGTCTACATTGGAAACTATCAGAAAGCCAGGTTTACTAACCTCTAGAACCCCTGCTACCTCCATCAGAGGGATGAGCTCTGTCCTAACACAGTACGTCAGCTGCTTGGTAAGTTCTGTCAGCAAGGCTTTATAAACCCAGAATTCTTCCAACTCCTGCAGAGACAAGGACCATTAAAAATCAGATCCTAAGTTCCGCATTTTGGGTGTATGACTGATAGAGCTCTGCTACAGCAACAAACATATATTTGGCTTTTGGATAGGGAAACCACTATTATTTCTAGCTATCCTTTCAGGTAGTTAGAGTTGTATTCAGCACTCTGCAGCTGAACATCCCAAAGCTGAGGAATTTCTGAAGGATAAACAATGCATTATTTCAATAAAGGAAAAAAAAATAATCAGGAGAACAAGCCAACTCAGCTGTTTTCCTAAGATGACACAACCAGGTGGCCTTATTTCCAATAGAAAGGTAAAACTGTAAATTTCACCAACAGTTTTGACAACGATCAATGCCCTGCACAGTTTGTATATGTTCACATTCTCAGTGCACAAAGCTTACTTCTAATGTAAGAAATATGTATCACTGTACAAACACGTTTTTCAGAACGGGAAAAAATTTTGCACAGGAAAGGTAAAATAAAACACTTATGTTCAGTTCTAACATGAAAACAATAACCCCAATTTTGCAAAACCAATCCCAAAGACGTTATTGGAATATATTTAACACACTACCTCACAGAAATGCAGAACACAGGAGGCGAATGAGGCAGCGGAATTAAGGAGATTTTGCACGTATCCTCGTGACATATTAAATTTCTCTGAAACACTCCATATATTGGTCTCTTTCAGTAGTGTATAAAGCACAAATGTCAGGTACAGCCTATTTACCACAGCACTGTCCACAGCCTAGGAATAAAGCAAGTTAAAATTCAGAGCCAGCATCATGTTTGAGATATTCTGCTAGTGCTACAAGGAAATTCCTTTCATTTCTACTCCTTCGCATCTCTAAAACACGTCTATATTATACCCAAAGACACTAAGCAATATGAAGAAAGCCAACCAATGAGATTACAAGAATCTTAATGAACAGAACAATAATAAAGAACACTAGCAGAAAAATAATCTAGAATTTGTAAGTAATCAAATTAAATGACTAAACTCTCATACCCGAGTATGAGAAACCTCCAGCCTACCTTTCTGATAGCTTGACCAGAAGCCTTTTTAGTAATAAAGCTTTCAGGTACTCCCACAATATCCGCCACTTTCTGCTCTGCTGCACTTAGCTGGTTGAACTAAAATAAGATTGATTACAGTCAAGATTATTTATTTGTTGACAACCCATTAAGAGTTACAAGTGTTACAAATCAGAAGAGCTGCAGACAACGTATGATCTATTCAGCTGTAAAAAATAATTCACATCGAATTTTTGTAATACCAGTACCATCCGCAGACAGATCATTTGCTTTCCCTTTTCTTCTGTGAATGACAAACTTTCATTCTTTTTCATCTTGAACTCCAGTGGTTTGGAAATACATGAATGTATGCGTTCTACTGATAAACTTCTGGTGTGCCTGCAGATGAAGCTTTTCTTTTCATAAATGTGTAGCCTACGCTAGCATTAAGGTTCACACAGCATCACTCTTCTTGCATCCCTAGGTAAAAATGTCTACTTGTATGTTTAAGATTAAAGGTGAACAGGTTAAAAAACTCCAAAGAACTAAGTCACATTTAAGTACTCAAATATTTTTGAGTACTTGAGCTGAATAGTCTAACTGTCCCTCTCTGAATGCCACATTTTAACAAAACTAAATAGATTTTACCCCTAGTATACAACACTTTACAGAAAAGTGAGTAGTTGAATTACAAGTGGATCTTACAGAGTGTGCAAGACTAGGCTAGTGACTGTGCTTTTCAGGTTGACATGAGCATAGTAACCTGTAGGAAGGTACTGGTCACAGTGTAATAATTGCAATTACAATTAGAGTTAGGCATTAACTTCAAATATGAAACAAGGATTAAGACTGAAGACTTAATATTTTCTAGCAGATTTTGCTCCCAAAACTACAGATGAAATGAGTGAGCATCAGAAGGTAAATACAGGTTTTGATTAATTTAATAGTGGTTTTCTTGCAATACTATGATGATTTGGTTAAATTTAAGTATTTTATAGTGACTTTTTGTTCAAGATTGACCAGAACCTGACAATGACATGGCTAGCAGCAAGGTTAGAGACAGGATTTGGAGAACTGGCAATTGAAGAGGTGTGTTTCATGCTGCTGTTTCCCCCAAACAAGGACAAATATTATAGACAGACACCACAGCTTAGGTTTTTATACAGTACAGGAAAGCACTCTACCTCATGACTGAAAAGTAACTAGCACACAGTACTTCCATCAAATTGTTACCCCACTATCTACATTTCCTATGTGTAAGCATTTACTTAAAAATTATTAAGTGGGATTACTATAAGCCGCAATACATGTTTGCTAGTAAACTCTCACCTGTCTCAAGTATATCATCCAATCTGGGCTACAGTTAAAAGTCATATCATATGGAGTTGCCAGATACAGAAGATGGAGATTGCTCTCAAGAATCAGCCCTTCCAAACCTTTCTTCAATTCTCTGTAAAGAAGATTGCAGTATGCCAAGTCTATAGACCCTATAATAAGCACACAACGTATTGCAATTTTAAGTAGGCATACAGAGTGTAATAGATTTTAACACAGAGTCAATGTTTTCTCTATTTTCCACAAAAGCTTGTTATGCCATCTAAATTTAAGAGAAATAACTGTAACCTGAATAATTGCTCTAACTTGAGCAGTGAAACTGAACTGAGGAAAGGCAGGCACCCATTTCCACGTATGTCTGTTCTGTATGTTTTTGGAGTGTTTGTGAATTGCCTTGGATTTAATAAAAGCCTGGAACAATCTTGTAGATTGAAGGAATCTTTCAGAGATTCTTCCTATTCCAATTGCATTCCAGACTCCGTATATTCATGCTATGACAGGAAAACAGAACTTTCTGATATCCTCTTTCTTCTTTATTGCAATTGGCCTGCATGTCATATGCTTCTTTCCCCCCCTAGCTTCCCTCTAGATTAAGAAATATCCCTGTTCACAGTATCTAAACAGAACAGTGAATTATAAAATGATGTTGTGAGCCATTCTGATTACAAACACTAAAGCAAGTATTTAAATTTTTTTTTTGGGGGGTACAGTTCTGGTTTTACTCCCATTGTGACCAATGTTAATTCACTCCATTCCCATCATGTTCAGTCATGCACTACTTTGTTCATTCCCATTTTCAGCCCCGCACATCATTTAGTAATGAAAACTCTCTCTACAACTTATTTTTCACTGCAGTTTCAGACTAAAGATGGGAAAAACATATCAAATTGAGAGAAAGCTGAGATGAAAGGGTTTGTTGAAGTAAAGCTTAAAATAAGAATAAAAAAGTCTCACCTTTATATGTAGCTTTACCCAACGGTGTGACTGTTAGCATGCATTTGGAATTGTGGTCCTTCTCAGATATTCTTCCTTTCAGGAGTCCTTTTTCTATTAGATTTTCTAGCCCATTTTTAGTTATCTCTGAGAGGCTCTTCTCTTTAGACAGCAGATGCTGCTGAACTCCCACCAATGTACCATGCATAAATTCGTTGACTTCCTCAAGGGTAACTGCTATCTGCACCAGTTTTGCAAGGGATTAATTAGCACGTTTAAAGGTGTCATTCCACATAACACAAGACATAAGCTATAAGAAATAGTTTACTGAATAGAAGAGCAGTTTGATATCCTGTTCATGTGTTTCTATAGAAATACACGACAAACAGTATGACAGACTATGATGGATCTGATGGGACGGCTCTCCACCTGTTCTATTATTCAAGCTACTGAATCACATTGTTTCCACTGTTTCTATTTGTATTCTTGAAATCAAGTATCCAAAATGAAAATATTAATACGGTAATGTATCATAAGGTAAATAAAATTATGACTTTTACAGGTTTGGAAACAGTCATGTTATGTGATTACTTGCTGTTACAGAATAAGTTTGATTAGCTGTATTCTTGTCTCTAAATAGTCTTGTTTAACATAAGCTCAGCACTAGAAGCTAAAGTAATTGAAGCCTTAGGCTGCAAAAGCTGACCGAGAGTAAACTTTTTGATAAAACTAATGCTGCTAACACAGAACTAGCTGCATTTCGCAGATGCAAAGGGAATGAAGAAGATAAGGACCAAGGAAACAATTCCAAGAGAATGACATAACTTCAGAAGACCAGCCCAGCAAAAGAGAAATCCAGTAAGAAATCGAGAGACCATCAACCAGAATTAAGTGGTTGGACTTGGGGATCAGGTGCTGAGTGGTACAAGTATAATTGGGGGGCATGATCTGGGGTAGGGGGTCACACTCAAGAGGCATCTAGCTTGAGCTGTAACCTGAGAATTAAATAAAGGGGAATTGGAAAACTTGTCTTGGCCCTTACATGAACCAGCAGGATCCTAGGATCCGACCCTGTTATGGCAGCTGGTGTTTGTAAATCTGTAACACTTGCTGAGTTAAATAAAAACACTAGTCAAATCTTTGTCCTTCTCATCTGATTAGAAGTCGTGCTGAACTTTTTAAGGCAATCTGTTTTTAAAAATCTGCTTTTTCTATAGAACCAACAAATAAGATTTTCTTTGCATTGCCAAGCACGACTTAAGTTACTCACAGAGAAGACTTAACTGATACCTTCAGTCCAACCAAAGATAACAACAGGCTCTGCATTCCCTTGGTCAGTTCCAGCAGAAGATTGCTGTAACAGTTCTCCAAAGGACTGTTAACTAACTTCTGAACCTAAAAAGAGCAAGAAATACATTAGTTCAGGGAAAATATTTATGCATTACTTTTACACTTTAAAAAATACTGATACTCATGACTCAGCTTATAAAGAAAGTAACTGTAGGTATCTGGAGTTTACAGTTCATGCCTGAAAACAAACAACATGATGGTAGATTAGAGGTATTACTACATAAGTCAAATACTTGCAACATTAAGAACTGAACAAAAAGTAAGCTAGGAAGCTCAGTTCCTCACATTTAACCCACCAGCTTAATACAACAATTTAAATTACCAACAGCTTTGCAAAAATTACCAAGTGCTTGTCTTTTTCTTGCACTATGAGAATACTTTCTCCAGCACTGTCAATACCCGCTCGACCAGCTCTGCCAATCATTTGTTTATACTGGTTCTTCTTCAGGAAGTCACTAGCAACATAAGGAGCTCTCAGAATAACCCTGTAAAGAAACCTTTAGTAAGTTATGCTTTATATTAAAACTACTAAGAAGCAATACCATGTTACAAATGTGTTCTTTAGATATGCCTCTTGCTTCATAACTACGATAAAAACCAAATACACCTGTTTGAACAGATGTGTAAATCAACCAGAAAAACATTTAACCATTTGAGGTTTATTCAACTATAACCCATGTTAATTATGTTTTGCAGAGCCTTTGGAACTGGTCTTCACACCTACTCAAAGGCCTGAGTTCAAGACTGACAAATCACTGAAATATAAAATAAACCCTACTGAAAAACATCAGCAATACTGACCACACATCAGTGATGGTAGAAAGACAACACTTGTCTGTATGTACTTATTTTTTTTCTTCCCTCAGATGTATTATTCAAACATACACACACAAACTGGATTCGTAACAGTATTTCATCATAAGAGTACCGTATCACCAGCACTCGTACAAGAACAGCTAAAACATTTGTGTTAAAACACACTCAAACTTTCTCTCCTTAGAAAGGATTTATTTTACAATTTAAACACTGTTCTTAGGACAACATCTAAAGAAACTGCCATGAATTCCTTATTTTTCTGGATAAAATTACTAAAATACTGAAGCATTTCCTCAATTTATTAAAATATCCTTAATCTACTCAGGTAAGCATTCCCCTGCTACGCATTCTGAGGGACTCGCTACTGACTCACATTTCCTATATAAAAACGTTGCAGTCTTAATTGTGCCCCGAGTTGAACACAAAATCCTTTATACTTCCAATTTGATAGTAAAAACAGAAACATACTTTAAATCACACTGATGTTTGCATGAAGTTACTTAAAGCAAATTAAAAAGTAATTAATTTTTTACAAAGCAGAAGTTAATGAAACAATGAAAGGTTTCAGTTACTAACCGTCTAGCTGGCAGGTTGACTCCAGCAGCTAAAGTAGCTGTGCAAGCAAGCAGACACAGGACACCAGCAGAATATGCTTCCTCTATACTTTTTCTTTCATCATTTGTGAGCCCACTATGATGATAGGCAATACCAAAAGGGATTGTTTGCTTCAGAACAGGACACACACTTCCATTTCCAATATTCTTTAGGTTCTTGATGAGATCTTGTTTCTCTTTCTCCTGGTGAGCTCTAAATTCTCTTGAAAGAGGAAATGCATTATTTTAGACTTCGAACAATCATTAACTAGTTGATTTTTTTTTTAAAGACTACGCTTACTATTTCTGTCCATTATCCATTCCTGTAACTAGATCTGAGGTTGGAGAAACAGTTATTCACAGTAACTTTAAAATAGCAACGCACAAGAGACTTAAGTTGCAATAGAACTTGTTTGAAAGCATGCGTACAAAAGGGATCAAATATTGACTGGGTGTGAGTGTTGAGTACACTCAAAAATAGAAAGAGAGCTAATATCAGGTCCCAGTGATGATTACAGTTATACCAAAAGTGGTTCCAACTTTGATAGCAAGGGAAGGTGTTGATATTTATTTTAATATAATTTCTTCCTACATACAATTTAACTTTGCTAGACCACTAGGAGTGTATCAAATCACACTGAAGTGAAACTCTATTAACTCTATGAAACTCTCTATTAACTAAGCCTGGTTTAGAATTCACAACTTACATTTGCAAACTAGGTATGGAACTGAGATACTCAGTTGAGTAGTAACATACATGACCAAACACCAGGATATAGAGGAAATATTTCTTTACTAAGCTTGCAGAGACCAGTGCCAAAGGGATACAGGTTTGATTAATTTAGTATGCTTTTACTTTTTTCTCTATTATTTGTCCCCTGTTTAGATTTCTTTTCAGCTAATTTGTTTTAAGATGAAAAACTGTCTTGGTAAAACATTTGTTTAAGAAGCCTTGAGCAGTTTCCTATAATTTATGCATTTAGTAACTTTACATGACTCCATATTCAAAGCATTTACTTCTGATCACCAGGGAAAGTCACTTGCAAACAAGTGTAAATAAATCCTAAGTTCTGACCAATTATTCCATTTATAATTAAAAAAATCATGACAAACTTACTTCTTGAGGTACTTGCACACCATTGACGCCACATTTTCACAGTTTTTTTTAGTAGGACAAAAGATTAGGCAGGAATATTTGGGAATAACCTCAGTAACCAGTGCAATGATGTGGTCAGGATCTGCTTTCTCCAGATTACTAGAATACTATCATAAACACAGATTGACAAACATTTACTTTTTAAACTTTGAAATTAGGTCTTAAACTAAGTATTCAATACTTGTTCTCAACCTTCACTAGAGCACTTATTTGCTTTAATCAAAAAGCTGTAGGATAAGCTTCTCTCTCAGTCCCCCACTTGCAGAAGTTTGTAACACATGTGGCTTGAACTGGAGGTTACACAAATGTAAGAACCGAATACTTTGCTTTTTCCCCTTCATACTTCAATTTCTTTTAGTGACACCATGGTGATGTCACTTGTGCTACTGGCAGTCTACCATAACCCACAGTTTTCTTCGTAAAGGTTGAAATGAATCCCTTTAAGGCATTAATAAGCTGATAACAAAAGAGATGCCTTCTTTCAGTATCATCTAAGAGTGATCAAGTGTTCAGAAAATATACCAAAACCATAAAGCATTAGGTATCTGGAATACTCAAATCCACTGCTCTTCAGATGTCAAAACACTGAAGAATCTCCTACCTCTACCTTAAGAACAGCAAAAAACCATTAAAATCAAATAAAGTGTTTGGTATCGTCAAGGGCTTTTTCCTCCTCAAAGCCTACCATTTTCTCTCTCACAGGTATTACAATAAAATACCATGTTTAAGTAATTTCATTGGTAAAAGCATGGTAAACTAATCAGTGTAAAATAAAACATTTCTCAACTATAGTTCAAAGGAACTATTAAGCACTTCTAGTTTACCTTGAAATTAAGACGACGTGTAAAAGTAAAGCCATTTTCTGTTTTGCTGTCCACTGCGTAAATGGTGTCCTGTATCTTTACGTATTCCTTTAATTCTACCTAGGGAAATAAAAGCCATAAACAGAAACTTCAGTTAAATTACCAAGTCTTCTCTAAAGATTAAGCTATTACTGATATACAGCTAATGTTTTTTGCTAAGCATTACACTTCACATACATACATACACATACTTGCATGCACACAAGTGCACACTCCATCAAATCAAGATTTTTTTTAAAGTTGTTTTAATTATCTGCCTTGAGAAAGTGTCTAGTTATAATGAAGAACACGACAAATGTTGTATCCCATGAGTTATTAACAAATCGTTGTCACGACAGTATTCAAGCACCAGTAGTGCAGACTGTACTTACATCAAATGAACTGTAATGATTTATCACAGTAGCTGCAATTTATAAATCGGTTTAAAATTGCACAAGTGGCTTAAGACAACAATATACAGGTACTCGCATTTGTGCATTTACAAGTGCATAGCACTGTTTATTTTACCGGTACAACTGCAAGCAGTAGCAGGCATTATATTGCGTTACACCATGAAATTAAGTACAAAAGCTGTGACTAGACCCTAAACAGATTTGCTATAATTCTGAAGCCAAATATGGTTTTTGCTAGCTCATGGTATCTTATATACAGACCGGTCTAAAATTATTAGAATAGTACTCCGCTTGCAGGAACTTCTGCAGGTCTCCAACATTATTTAAAGTCGCACTCATTCCAATGATTTGTGTGTCTTCTGTAAAACAGAAACGGACATGAATTTATTAACATGTTCACAATTTTTAACATTGCTGCTCAGTATTTAATTTGTAAGCCTCCTTCTTCATTGTTAGTCTCTTTAAATGCCAAGGGGGCAGGCTTTAATGGGGATACAGTTCAGAAACATTACCTTACATGCAAACATAAAAAAGGGAATGCTTCTCTATGCAAGTATTTAATTGGAATGGCTAAGGGGCTCCTATGAAGAAATGGAAGACATTTGACAATACTCAAGATTTCTCAGAGAAGAATCAAAAAAGCTTCAAAAAACACCTAGCCCATCAATCGTTACAGGATAAACTGACACTGACACTTCAGTGAGTAAGCATTGTTACCGCATGGAGTCATGCCATGTTTTTCAGAAGTGGCCAGACCACCACAAATCAAGAAAGTAAAAGTAGGTCTTCTCTCTGGAGATTCCATCGCTACAATATTTCAGTACCATTACCTGCAGCCATGACTTACTACTAGTGTAAAGAATTTTCGCAAGAGTAATTTCCAGCGTTGCTCCACGGCTTCCCTCACCAAGCATATGCAACTGTGCACAGAGGGGAAAAAGAAAATGTGAGGATATTACTAAGTTAAGAGTATTTCTAAGAAAAACCCCAAGCAATTATGTGTTCCTAAGCAACTATTAGAGGAACATCTTTATTGGACTTCCTCATGAGAGCCCTCTGGTAATCTTGACTGCTAAGCTCCTTCTGGAATTATAGTCTTCCTGAAACAACTTTTAAGAATCACAGAAAAAACAGAGCCAAGAGCAAACATAGATAACAAGATTTACCTTTCATTTAACCAGACCATAACTGACACAGAAACAGTTAACTCCTGGCAGTAAACAGTCAGTGAGGAGATCTTTGTATCCATCAGGCTAAATAATTTTTAAACAAATTCTATTTTAAACAACATTTACAGTGGAAGCTAATATAAAAAACCAATTCTGGCAGCCAGCTACTACCAGAAAAAGCAGATGTTCACACTTAAGCCTTCTTTTGTTCAGAAGCTATAGAGCCAGCCAGCCTGAAGCATCCCATCAATTAAACATCCCTGTTAGATGTTACACATGTGACTCAACCCCAAAATCAACCCTTAGGAGAACTCAGCCACATCACTGGAAAGCAGAATACGGGACAATTCTCACAGTCAAATGTTAGTTAATATTTTTCTTTTTAAAGGTTTTATTTAGTCATTATTAATACCAGACACAAAGTCTCATGGTTCCACATTTAGGAGTTCAATTCTGGGATACATAAAGTACATTCTAGATGATTAAAATTATTTATGTATTTTGTAATCCATTAGTGATGTCTAATTGACAAGTAGTTACTAAGTAATTCACCATCAACCACTAACGTAGTAGATGGCTCAATACAGAATCTGTTGTCCTGATATAGCAACAAATGCTTCAGTTAAAGAAAATTAACACTCAGTACTACAAAATTATGTACTGATGTAGTGAGTAAGTAATAATAATAATAATTCCATGAGAAACACTAAAAAGGCAAAACCAAGTAATCAAAAAAGTGCTCTTTGTTAAAAACTGCGTATCATGGATATAAAAAACGGCATTATTGTAAATCTAAGCAACATCTTGTAACATACCTCATCTACTACAACCAGACCAAGGTCATCAATTCTTTCTGTTTCAATTAAAGAATTAACTAGAGCATGTCCTTTTTCTATAGTAGCAATATAGAGAGACTTCTTTGTTCTCCTCTTGATTGGTGGAAATCTTCCTTTACTTCCTGCATATTCTTCAACCAGGAAACCCAGTTCTATCCCAAAACTCGATAAACCCCTAACCTGTTGAAAACCAAAGATCAATTAGAGAATAAACTCAGGCTCATTTTGGATTTCAGAGCTGCTTCAAGAACTCAACATACATATGTATGACCCACACCACCATCAGCTGACTTCGTTTTCCAACTGCAAAGCTGAAGGGTGGACAAACATTATCAAACTTAGGTTACATCTGTTCTTTAAAATTCACTTTTCCTTTATATAAATAAAAAGCTTTTATTTCAAGACTATATCTTTAGCAAGTGTGGCAGTACAGATCTAAGACTGCAGAAGTATACAAGAGATTCCAAAAAGCTATTTTGAAATTAAGCACATTTTACTTTATAAGTCAGCACCGTCGCCTCACAATTTCAGTTTGCTTTATTATGAAATTACTGACCCTCAGAGCAGCATTTAGGAGAGCGGTCACTCACTTCCCATCATCTATTTATGAAAATCATGGAGTTTGCGAGCATTAGTGTTAAAACCAGCTGAGTAACAAGGCACATCACAAGAAATAAGCAGTATCAGAAACATTGTATCCAGACCTTTTCTTGGACAATGGCAACATAGGGCAGGATCATCAGAACATCTTTCTGCCTGCAGAGCAATTCTTGGAGGATTATTATTTCAGCTACAAGTGTTTTTCCACCACTGGTTGGCAATGAGTATATTAAATTCTTTCTTTGCTGCAGAGATTCTAACATTAAGCAATCATGCTGCCATTCTGCAAAATTAAAAAATAATTCTTAGCAATCCCTAGGGGCACGTTAATCAATATCAAAATGCCTATATTGCATATAAAATACTTTAAGCCTAGACTTTGAGATTTTTTCTTCAATAAACCACTAAAAAATTTCAGTGATCGAGCCTTCCAAAGCATTCTATGAGCCATATCAATCTTCCCCACCCATCTAAAAAATCAAAATAACCACTTAATAAAACATAACAACCACTTTCCAACATTGTTTACATTAAATATTACCCTAACGTAAATATTTTTTCAGTGTAATGGGTAAAATGGAAAACACTCTACTAGCAATTTTTTTCAACAAACCATTAGTTACATTACCATAAAGTGTTTCAATCCCTCGAAACTGTCTGAGCAGATCTTTAACTTTACTAGGTAATCCATAAAAAGGGCCTATATCAACAGAAGATGATTCAATAGTTTTCCTAGCAACACAAATCTCTTCAGATAAAACAGCTTCTTTAAGCTGCTTTGTCTTGGAGATCTGTAGAGTCTGGGCTTTGGCATTTCCAGACATAGCACTTTTTAGATGGCTTTTAAGACTTCCAGTTTTAAGTAAATCACACTTAGAGTCTGAGGAAAAGTCAGTAGTTTTGTTCCTGTGGTCAGCCTCAGGACAAAAAGATGACGGCCCATTGATTTTATCCAAGGAAGAACTTATGCATTTATCCCTGCTTTCTGTGCCCGCAGATTTTCTAGAACTAGAAGAAAGTTCACCCATCTTCTCAAAATATAAAAGTTGTGATGATGGCAAGACATCTAAAAGGGATTCACTGAGTTCTTGACTGCTATCCACCAGGTTACTTTCTTTCATTCGGAAGCCCCCCTCTTTGTGAGCTTTAAGGTCAACGATATTTTCAGAAGTAGAAATATTATCTTCTTTGTTCTGGTGAATTCCCGAGTGAAGATTCCTAAGTCTGATATCTCCAGCTGCTTTAATATCCATATTCTTATCCTGCAGGTATTTGTGCTCTATAGCATCAACTTGAGCTACCAAAGAGTCATTTCCATAAAAGCTGTCATAGTCGCCGAACATATCTTCTTCACTATCATTACTACACTGCAAAAACATAACAATGGCTATTAAAACTCCACACTACCACCAAAGAAGGCAACATAACTTGCACAGCACACACATCTGATGTAAGTCATTTAATTCTTCTCCAACTTAACAAGAAAGTGAAATATTTTTTCTGTGTTGTTTGTGAGGAAAATCTAGCTTTACTTCTCAAAGGCCAAGTTGGACAGGGCTTTGGGCAACCTGGTCTGGTCGGAGGTGTCCCTGCCCATGGCAGGGGGGCTGGACTGGATGATCTTTAGGGTCCCTTCCAACCCAATCCATTCTGTAATTCTACATGCTTTAACATCGTGAAACTTAACCTACAAGTAGACATTGTGCCTGCATAACTACTTGTTAGAGATGAGTTGTTTTCTTTTAAAGTTAAAGCCAAAACTCATCCCCTTTCACGGAAAGCCAGACCCTTCCCCGACCAACGACACGCAGGCCAGGTCCTGACCAAGCCCCTGAAGCTCCCCCGCCTCAATGCCCAGCCCTAGGAGCCT